CATGAGGCACCCCACAAGCTCTGCGTACGGACCACTGGGCTCAGCCGACTCGTCAGGGACTAGAGCCGAGAGCCTGTGGTCTACTGGCAGAGGTGTAGGCTTTCCGGAGGAGAACTGAAGGCCGGGCCTCTGAAGGATCTGGGGCACCAAGTGTGACTGTGTGAGAGTGATGGTGGATGCTGCTCTGTCCCTAGAGATCTGTAGGCCAAGGTAGTGGTGCAGCTCTCCTAGGTCAGTGCAGGTGTGTCTCCTCAGCAGCTCAGCCTTCACTGAGGCCACTGCGTCTCTATCTGCAGTAGCGAAGTCCACATCATCTATGTAGAGTAGGATGTAGAATGGAGTATGGGCTGAGCGAACGAAGAGCGAAGGGTGAGCAGAGGACGGAAAGAATTACAGGTCTGCTAACGTAGCACATAGCATGTCGTGCCACTCACGGAGCGCCTGCCACAGACCGTAAACCAGGCGCCAAAGGAACCACTTGATCCCAAGAGGGAAAGTGCCAGAGAAGCGTGGCGAGTAGCGCAGGTATATCTGCTCGTGCAGTCTGCCCTGAAGAAACGCGATGGAGAAGTCAAGAGAGTGCAGCTCGTAGTTGTGTTGTGCTGCTACATGAAGCAACGCTTGAAGAGTTGTCATCTTTGGGGTCTAGGCGAAGGTCTGAAAGAAGTCAACACCGTCGCGCTGACTGAAGCCTCTATCAACGTAGCGCGCCTTGAACACCGACGTCTCTCGAGGGTGGCGGTTCACCTAGAAGAGCCACCGCCCATCGACTATGTTTGCCCCAGATGGGGGAACTGCGTCGATGCAGGTGCCGATGGATCTCCAAGATGCCATCTCTGCGTCCATGGCAGCTATCCACTGAGAGGCCCAGGGTCCCAAAGTCGCCTCAGCGTAGGTGCGAGGGGTCGAGATGTCAAGAGCGTATGGGTCACCCTCAGAGGCACACCATGGAGCAGAGATGAGGAGCGGCCTCAGACAGGAAAGCTTTCTCATAGTGCTTTTCCTCTATGACGTTACTGCCAAGGGCAGGTGCACCCCCGGCAAACTGAGGACGGGCAGGGCCAGAAACCAGAGCAGTTGTGTATTCAAGGTGGATTGTAGAGGCAAAGGCAGCAACAGTAGCGAAAAGAGCGTCGAGACTAGAGACAGGAATGGACGGGTCGGTAACAAGGGAGGCAAGGACATGGGGAACAAGAGGGCGAGCAACATGGAGGAAGTCACAGAAAGGAGGAGGGGAGACAGCTAGGGATGACTGCGGAGACGACGGGAGAAGACGAGCAGGAGGAGCACAAGACGCATGAGAATAGAGAGACATAGGGTGAACACTCAGAGCGGGAGAGACGCGACGAGCACGAGAGGGGCGATGAGACCAATAGTGAGAGGGAGGTGCAAGGTCAAGAGACAACGGAGGAGATACAGGAGGGGAACGCGGCAGGGACGAGTCCGTCCCGTCTCACGTTTGGTCGCGCCGTCCCTCTCGTGCTCGTCTTGTCTCTCCTGCTTAGCGCTCTCACCCTATGTTGCTTCGTTCCCACGCGTCTCGTCCTTCCCTCCTCCCGTCTCCTCCTCTGTTGTCGCTCGCTGTTGCGCCTCCCCCTCTGTCTGACTAACTTTGTACCGCTCGTCCTCTTGTTCCTCAGGTCCTTGCCTCTCTTGTTACCGACCCGTCTGTTCCTATCTCTAGTCTTGACGCTCTTGTCGCTGCTGTCGCTAACTTCGCCTGTACCCGCTGCCTTGACTACGCCACTGCTGTGGTCTCTGACCCTGTCCGTCCTCCGTCCATCAGGGGTGCTCCTCCCCTTTGCAGTGACATCTTAGAGGACAGGCAGTACAAGCTTGCTTTCCTGTATGAGGCTGCTCTTCATCTCTGTTCCATGCTGCTAGTCCCTGAGGGTGACCCAGACCCCTTTGATATCCCGACCCCTCGCACTTACGCTGAGGCCACCTCGGGACCCTGTGCCTCTCAGTGGATAGCTGCCATGGAGCAGGAGATGGCATCTTGGAGATCCGCCGGCACCTACGTCGACGTAGTTCCCCCGCTTGGGGTGAACGTAGTCGATGGTCGGTGGCTCTTCAAGGTGAAGCGCCCCCTTGGAGAGCTGCCTGTGTTCAAGGTGCGCTACGTGGCTAGAGGCTTCAGTGAGCAAGAGGGGGTGGACTTCTTTCAGACTTTCACCCCGACCCCGAAGATGACTACTCTTTAGGCACTGCTACACGTAGCAGTACAGCGTGACTACGAGCTCCACTCCCTCGACTTCTCCACTGCTTTTCTTCAGGGCAGCCTACATGAACAGGTCTACCTGCGCCGTCCACAAGGCTTCACCGCTAATTTTCCTCTTATGAACGAGTGGCTCCTCCGGCGCCTGGTCTACGGCCTGCAACAGGCGCCCCGTGAGTGGCACGACAAGCTGTGTGCTACGCTAGCTGACATGCAGTTCTTTCCGTCCTCTGCAGACCCTTCGCTCTTCGTTCGTGCTGGCCAGACTCCGTTCTACATCCTTGTCTACGTAGACGACCTGGTCTTTGCTAGTGCAGACAGAGATGCGCTGGCCTCCGTGAAGGCCGAGCTGCTGAGGAGACACACCTGCACTGACCTAGGAGAGCTGCGCCGCTACCTTTGCCTGCAGATCTCTAGGGACAGAGCAGTGCGCACCATCACTCTCACACCGTCACACTTTGTGTGTTAGGTCCTTCAGAGGTTTGGTCTTCAGTTCTCTTCCGTACAGCCCACACCTCTGTCAGTAGACTACAGGCTTTCAGCTCCATTTCCTAAGGAGTCAGTAGAGCCTAGTGGTCCTTACGCAGAGCTGGTGGGTTGCCTCATGTACCTGATGACTTGCACTCGTCCAGATCTCGCATACCCTCTCAGCACCCTGGCTCGCTTTGTGGCCATATGCAGATACCGACCATAGCACTTGTCGGCCGCTAAGAGGGTTTTGTGTTATCTAGCAAGTACATTGGGCATGGGGCTAGTGCCGGGAGGATGCAGGCCAGTGGTCCTTACTGGGCACATCAAGGCTTTTTGGGCAGACGACGCTGAGACCCCAATGTCGTCCCAAGGCTACTTCTTTAGCCTTGGTTCGGGTGCCATCTCGTGCAGGTCCACTCACTCCTCGTCTGTTGCCTAGTCTAGCTGTGAGGCTGAGATCTACGCCGGTGCCATGGCGGCACAGGAGCTCCGCTGGCTGAACTTCTTGCTCATCGACTTAGGTGAGTGGCCTAGATCTGCCCTGGTTCTGTACGCTGGCAACAGGGCCATGATCCTCCTGTGTCAAGAGCCTCGACTTGAGGGCAGAGCAAAGCACATCCAGCTGCGGGACTTCCTCCTGCACGAGCTACAGTAGCGTCGCCAGGCCCGCGTAGTACACTTGGCCCCCGGTGCCAATACAGCTGATATCTTTACTAAGGCGCTTCCGCCTAAAGATCATCAGCGACACTATTTGCAGCTTGGTCTAGTTCCTGTAGCTACTCACTTGCTAGGACCTTGATTGTGTACTCCTCTTTATATCTACTTTTCTGACTGGCCTTGTGGCTTCGCCTCCAATGGCTGGACTAGAAGTGCCGCCCTGGTTTGCTTTTTCTTGTTTGTACTCTTGGTGACTGGTCTTTGGACCCCTGCCTCAGAGGTTGGACTAGTAGTGCCACCCTGAGTTGCGTGCTTCTTGCTCAGCACTGCCCCTTATCTAGCCTAGGGGGTGTGTCAACTTATACATATATGTGTATGTAGAAATTATAGGCTAGATAGGTTTGTGTTCTTAGGAGGTATAATTCCAACCCTATATCTCCCGTGTTATCACTTGTTTCTAGTCATTCTGCTATTCTAACACCACTTCCATCAGCAGCAGCTACAAATCGCTGCATCTAAAATACAAGATTGTTTGGTCCATTCCTAGCTGCTAGTAGTGGGGTAGCATTACAGCAGGCACTAACAGGACGAACCGTGGCCATGGCAACTGGGCCAATGTAAGTGGTGGAATGGGATCTAACAAGAATCAGAGCGGTGGAGGTCCATCGATGCAGAGGCTTGCAGGAGGCCGTGGCATGCAGAGGTGGCTCTGGTTGTTGAACTAAATACGCTAGGTAGGAGAAGAAGACGCCATGAATGGCGAGAGGTTTTAGGCTAGGAGAAAGTTATCGAGAGAAAAGAGCGTGAGATTAGAAGAGAGAGGGATACAAGGAGGGAGCTGTACCCTCTACAGTAGGTTTCAGTAATGCCTACTAAGCCTACAATTATAGATAACCAATATAATTTAACACACCCCCTAGGCTTGGTAGTGGCAAGCCCACCCTACACGAAACACCCCCAAAACCCTGGCACCCCAATGTGCCGCAACTGGTGAGTCTTCTACCCTTCGTGCGAAGCGGTGACACCCCCAGCGGGTGGCAGCAACGGCGTCAGTGGCGGCGGTGACGACAGCGGCGGCGGCGGCGTCGTGCGGCGGCAAGAAAGGCTAGCGGCGGCGGCTTCGACGACGGCGGCGGCTACGGCGAGGCTCGCGGCTCTCGTCGGCGTGGCACGACCCAGTGACGACCGGGCATTGAGGCAGCAGCTGCGGCTGGAGGAGAGGAAGACACAGGGGGGGGGAAGGGGGTGTGGTCCAGCAACACGCCCGTGGCTGGCATTGGCCTGGCGTGCGGGCGTCAGGGCTGGCGCCGCCTAAAACGAAGCGCGGCCCGCTGCTGCGCGACGACGCCGCCACGGCAGCATGACGACGCCGCCACAGCGCAACGTCGATGCCGCGGCGGCACGTGGACGCTGCCACTGCAGCACGACGACGTCGCCACGGCGTGGCGTCGACGCCATGGCATCGCGTCTGGGCTGCGACTGCAGCACGACGGAGTTGCCGTGGCATCTCGGCATGGCCGCCACGGCAGCACGAAAATGACGAGAGAAGAGCGAGTACGCGGCGGAAGCGTGGGGAGCATGCCCGTGAGGGGAACCTGCTCTGATACCATGTTGAACTAAATACACTAGGTAGGAAGAGAAGACGCTATGAATGGCGAGAGGTTTTAGGCTATGAGAAGTTGTCGAGAGAAAAGAGCGCGAGATTAGAAGTGAGGGGGATACAAGGAGGGAGCTGTACCCTCTACAGTAGGTTTCAGTAATGCCTACCAAGCCTACAATTATATTTAACCAATATAATTTAACACTGGTTACCCATTATGGGTTTAGGGATTACCGGATGTTGCTCCTTCTGTGAAGTGGCTGAAAGCAGCAGTGGGAATGTGCTGCTGCTGTCTATACAGTCAAGGCAGTAGCAGGCTGTATCTGAAACAGCAGGTGTGTGCCGAAACCACGCCGCCGGTGATGATGCCGATGAGAGTGCGACAGCGATCAGGTAGGCGAGTGTGGCTGGAGCTTTCTTACAGCAGCGGGTGCGTGTAAAGCTAGAGCAATACCGTAGTGGCGTGTGCATGTGGGCAGCTAGAGCAGCACCATGGCATGCCTAATAAAGTGGCAGGATGTCTCTAGAGCAGCAGCAGTGTGTGCCGGAGAATGTCGCTGCAGGTGATGATGCCAATGAGCGTCTTGCGGCCATCAGGCAGACGAGCAACCACCGGCAGGCGAGACACCTGTGGCAAGTGAATGGGGCCTCAAATAAGAACATGCTCGCACCCACCGGTACAGCAGCAGGGGTCACGTGAAAAGGTACAGAACGCATGAAACACACATTCTAGGTACAGAACACATGAAACACACATTCTAGGTACAGAACACATGAAACACACATTCTAGGTACAGAACACATGAAACACACATTCTAGGTACAGAACACATGAAACACACATTCTAGGTGCAGAACACATGAAACACGCATTCTAGGTGTTGATCACAACCGCATTTGACGCAATGATTCATCCATTGCCGCACAGCACTACTTCATAGTAAACATCACAACTTTTGAGTCGACTCAAAAGGCACAGCACTACTTCACAGCCTAAAGCATGTATGACACTCACATTGCAGTTGAGCATGATCTCTGTGGCATCCACCATGAACGAATCCTCCTCCACCTGCAGTACTGTGTCCGTCATCGATTCTTCCACCTGCAGTTTCAAACGGGCAGATAAACAGACATGAGGGGAAGATGAGGGGCGTGAGCGAGGGGCAGATGAGGAGCGCGAGGGGCAGATAACACAAGCTGAGGGCACCCCAGCATCCCCAGAAACGACTTCTGAACCTGATTCGGGTGGTCCCAACAATCCATTAGGCCATCCACTTGATCGTCATGAACTCCCAAACCCACCCCACCATTCTCACCCGCCCAGGTACCACCTTCCTCAGCTGCTGCATGAGACTGCCCATGTTTATGTAACCCTGAAAGCTGGTTGTGTTGTCTCTTTGGGCTAACCGCTTGGTTTCGAATCCGCCCAACCGTCTCAACTCATTCACCCTCAGGTGCTGCCTGAGCTCCAGGTTCAGGTGGTCATGACAGCCGATTAGGCTATCGAGATGCCTTCTTTGAAATCAACCACCCTGCATTGAACCCACCCCTAATTCTCACCCTCAGCGATGCAGCCTTCCTCAGGTGCTGCCTGAGTTTCTCCACACGAGGCCCCTGATTCAGTTGGTCCTGGTAGTTGGCCAGGCGCCGCAGAAACTCCTCCTCTGCCTGTAAGTGTGGGGAGGGGAAAGTGGGAGGCACACATAGAGATCCGTACGAAAGGGATATGCACAGGATGACGCATGCCCCCTGGTTCAGGTGGTTCTGGTAGAAGGCCGGGCAGCGGAGAAACTTCTCCTCGACCTGCAAGGGGGGGGGTGAATCAGGAGGGATGTGTGAGGGGGCATTCACAGGGATACGTTCGAAGGGTTTGAAGGGGCGTTTGAAGGGTTTAAAGGGGAGCTTGAAGAGTCACACAACAAAAGGCGTGGCCGCTGGTTCAGGCGGTCCTGGTAATTGGCCAGGCACCGCAAAAACCCCTCCTCTGCCTGTCCGGGTACGTGGAAGGGGAGGGGCGCGTGGGAAAGCATTTTGAGCGAAGGCATTTCAAAGGGATACATGTGAGATAGACACTGCAGGACCCGCAGCTCAGATGGTCCTTGTATTTGACCAGGCGCCTCAAAAGCCTCTCTGCTTGCCAAAACGGGGTGAGGGGGAGGGGGGGGTGTATGTTGGAGGGCACGCAGAGGAAGAATTGTGGAGGTTGGAGACAGGCACGCTGCCTGACTGACTGACTCACTGCCTGGCTGACACACTAATGCCTGACTGACACACTACTGCCTGACTGACACACTACTGCCTGACTGACACACTACTGCCTGACTGACACGCTACTGCCTGAGTGACACAGTTAGTAGACATCCCTGACCCACCATGTTGTGCGTCTTGAGCTCCTTCCACATGATGTCGCGCTGCGACAGTACGCCCACCACCTTGCCCAGCCCCACCCCGTCCTCCTCCTCGTACGCCTCAACCACCGGCGCCCCGCTGATGCGATAGCGCAGGAAGATCTGCGCGATGGCAAACAAGGGAGGCGAGAGAGGACGGCAGAAGGAGGGGAGGCGTGATTGAGCTGAAGGGCTTCTGTCACTGTCACATCCAACTGGGCAAACGCCCCTCTCAGCAGCAGAATGTCTCACCTCAGCACCATCTCTCACCTCAGCACCATCTCTCACCTCAGCGTCCCTCCCCTCAACACCATCTGTGAGTGACAGCTTGCAGAGCAGGAAGATGAGGCTAGCCGGCATGGTAGCTTGCTTGGGGGGACCAATCCCAACCACTCAGCCGTGCTGGGCGGCACACTTCTCACCTGAGCGGCACACTTCTCACCTGAGCGGCACGCTTCTCACCTGAGCGGCACACTTCTCACCTGAGCGGCACACTTCTCACCTGAGCGGCATCCCTGAGTGACATGTCGCGGTGCAGGCAGATGGGGTTGGCCGTCATGTAATCGCGCACTCGCTTGTCCACCCACAGCACACGGTCCACAATGCTGGAAGGTGGGATGGGAGAGGGACGAGAGGGATGTGACAGTTTTTAGACCCACACCCACTCGTCCACCCATAGTGCATGATCAACAATCCCAGGAGGAGAAAGGGAGAAGTGGCAGAAGCAGAGGCCAGGCGTGGAGACGAGTGAGGGAGAGGGGGGAGAAGGAAGGGAAGGTGCACGAGAGGAGCTGAGGAAGAGAGGCACAGAGAGGGAGAAACCGAAGCAGAGGGCAGGGGGAGGAGGAGCGGGGAGAGAGAAAGCACCAGCGAGAAGAAAACTGAGGCGAGGAGAAAGGGAGAGATGCAGCAAGGAGGGCGTGTTTAGACTCCACTTTCCCCTCTCAATCTGCTAACTGCTTCGATTCCGTGTCTTATCCCAAGACCTTCCTCCCTGTTCGTTTTACCGTCACGCACCTCAGCGCCTGCTTCGCCTCCTCCTCTGCCTCCAGCTCGAGCTCCTCCAGCAGTGGCGGGATGGCGCGCTCTCAGCAGTGAACCCACCGCCACTCTCTCTCTCTCTCTTTCCATACCTACCCTCTCCAGCTTTCAATCCACACTTCCAATGCTAACCTTAACGCCTGTTTGGATTCCTCCTCGGCCTCCAGCTCAAGCTCCTCCAGCAGCGACCTCGCGCTCTCCGCAGTGAACCCACCATCAGCGCCTCGCCCATACCCCGCCTCGCTACCGTCCTCCCCCTCATCGTCGTAGTCGAATCTGCCGCCAGACGCGGACAGCTGTGAGCCGTCGGATTGGTGCAGCCCGTCGTGTTTGAGCCACAGCATCTCCATGGCGTCCTTCGCTGCCTGCGCCTCCCTGCTCGCGCTGCGATGGCCGTTTATGGGCGAGGGGTCCGTGGCGGAGCAACGAACTTGAATGCGAGAATAGGGGATCTGCGGGGGACGGTGAAAAGAACGGCGCAGGGGAGGAAGAAGAGAAGAGTAGCTCGCATCTCCATGGCGCCCTTCTCCACCTGCGCCTCCCTGCTCGCGCTGGGGTGGCCGTTCACTGGGGAGGGGTCCGTGGCTGAACGACAGAGTTGAAGGCGGGAGGGGGAGATCTGTGGGGACAGAGAAGAGAGGGGAGGGGAGAAGAAGAGGAAACAACCTCGCATCTCCTTGGCGTCCTTCGCCGCCTGCGCCTCCCTGCTCGCGCTGCGATGCCCGTTTATTGGCGAGGGGTTCGTGGCCGAGCATCGAACGTGAATGCGCGGAGACACGATGGGAGGTACTAAGACAGGCGATACGACGGTAGATACGATAAGAGGTACGCTAGGAGAGATAATAAATACGATAGGAAGTACAACGCGTTCAACGCTAACCGGAACGAGCGAGCGACGAGGAACGAGGAACAGAGGCGGTCGGGAGAAGGCATCTATGAAGGAAGGACCGCGAAGAATAAGGTACCGAAGAAGGAGGCCGTTAGAAGAGAAGAGGGGGAGTAAGAGTCGGAGAGCGTACTTGCGTTACTGGTTTGGAATGCTTCGCGAGAAGAATCTGCGAGTTGATGCTGGCGACCTGCTGGCTACTACTGGCTATCAATCGAACGGTAGCCATCGCTGGAAACACCTGCGTCGGGAAACTAGAAATGACAAACGAATTTGCAATGGAAGCGTCTCATAGCACAAGCTGCAAGCGTTTCCCGTCCCGACTTCTTGTTGATTCCGTTCTTACAGGCTGGCGATGAATTCTGACAGAGCACACACACGTTAGGTATTCTTGAGAAATGACTCAGACTTCGACCTCATTGCGAGCCTGGGGTAACACCGAATCAACAAGTGTCAGATAAATAATCATGTAACGAATGCGTAATTCCTTACTGAGGCTTGCTACAGGGCGTACGACTCGAACAGTCCCGAACCAGCGACGGGGTTCCAGACCTTTCAGTTCGAGCCTCCCGGGCCTTTCCGGACCTCGCTACGACACATCGAGGCCCTTCGATACCTTTCCCGAACCTTCCGATCCTACGTCCATGATCACCCTAGGCTTTCTATATATTGTATTGTCTTTCATTTTATTGTCATTCACTCGTTCACAGTTTCGTCATTGCCCTCCGCGCTACTCGGCAGTCCCATTCATAACACTTGGTATTCAGAGCCCCTTTCCTCACCCGCTGGGCTTCTAAGGGCAATTTTTTTTGGGAGGGGGAGAAGGCGGATGGCGCTACAGAAGGTACAGTGGTTGTCCTGAGGCATGATATGATATGCTTCAACAACTGCGTCTGTGTGGGCTTCTAACGACCGTCGATCCGACCCCAAGGGACGAGCAGGATTCGCTCGGACATCCCCTCGAGGGCGGTTGTGTCCGTCCTGACATGGCGAAGTTTTTAAAGAGTGTTTCCGGTATGTTGTTCATTTCGCATATCGTTAAAGGAGTTTAGGTTGCGGTTTCGGAAAATTCGGCAAGCAGCAACGACGATTCGGATTGGTGTCCGAATGGAGCGAGAAGCTCGTTAGAGACGACAAGCTCGTGAATATCCCCAGGTGAAATGGTTTTCGTCAGGAGCGCGTGTAGCAGACGTGGCTGCATGGTGAAGTATAGGTGACGTTACGAGGCTCGGCGTTTCCGACAGGCGACACGCAAGTGAAGACGGGACTTCGGAACTGTTCAGCAAACGCGGCGTTGGAGTTTTCGCCACGACCAAGGATCGCACAACAGCACACGTGGGGCTCAGGCACGGAAAAGTTTCGGGGAGTACTGACCTCGAAATTTATTCGCGTGACCTGCCCGCCTGGATGTGTAATTCGTCTGCCCTGGAGATTCGAGCTCGACGGGTCTGGATTCCTGCGGAGGAAGCCATTTTCGTGGTCAGAACTTACGCCCCACGATCTACGGAGGACGACCAACAACTACCCTCGGGTCAAGTTTAAGTGTCTTCCGACGGGTCACCGCTAAAAGTCAACGACAAAGAGCTGAAGCAGAGAAGGAGAACGACTGGGTACAGCCGGGAAATAATTAAGAGTCAGCGGCAAAAGGATCCCCCCGACTGACTAGGCTGGGTCGCCTGATCTTCAACATCTCCACCGGGTGGTAGTACGATACATTCTATCGACAGCTCCCGGACGAATCAGGGAGGATGAGCCAGCGGATCACCCTGTGCAGGTGGATCGACGAAGAAAACAAATTCGGCGCTACACGGCAGGTGCACGATTGGTGAAAATCGGGCGCTGTACTGTGGAGGCGCGAGAAGAGGATTGACGAAAAAAGCGAAGGATTTGTGCGATGGAGATCGGACGGTGCGCGGAGCTCAAGTCCGATACGAACGGCGAGGATTGGTCGCTGCAATCGACAGAAATGCGAGCTTTTCGAAAGAACGTGCGCGCAACTGTTTTGAGAACGACGAACGTGGGCGCTGGGTCAACAGCGGCCTACGGGGGTTTTACTCTGGAAGCAGTAGTTGAAGACATTGCAGCAGTTTGGAGCAGATTGTTGCAGAAACGTAATTTTCAGGGAGGGGAAGGATAATCCCTCACGTAAGCTGCAAAGCGGTTGCCCGCGAATTAGACTGATTAATTCGCCCAACTACGATAGCGTTTGCGCTTACCTGAGTACGGGAACACGGCGGATTCACCCCTGCTCTGGAGTGTAGTCATCAAATGGAGCTTCAGGACGACAAAGGTTACTGCTGCAGTGGGTAAAACGTAATGCCGTCACGGAAAATTTGGAGTCACGCGGGAACCTTCTAGGATTAACCCTGGGCTGCGAGGCTATAATCAAAGACTCGGCTGCGAGGACACATTCGGGGATTTACCTGGACGGGCGCAAAGATGGGTGAACGTCAGCGCGTCGCTAAAACGTCGGGTATTGCCGGGTGGGAATTCTTCAAGTTTTTGGCTGGAGCGGTAGCTGGGGTCCCGGGTACCTACCGAGCTGTGCGAAGGTTTAAATACCAGCATGGTTAGTCGGTGAAACTGCAGAAAATGCGATTTTCGGAGCTGAGAACTCTCCCGAGTTTTTCTGGGGTACTTGCCGTAGCCGCGCGATGGGTGAACGTCTGCACGGTGAATCGGTCAGGTGGAGTTACGGAAATTTCTACAGAGGGTAACTACACGAAACAGATCGACGGCATTCTGCGGAGAAGAATATCAATCTACGGCGTCGGATGGAGCTAGAGTCTACGTGGCGCAGTTGCCCTGCGTTATAGGGTCGCGCTGAGACTGGTCCCGACGAGCAGGATTTAAGTTTTCTGGGTCTGAAGAAACTTAAAGCAGTGTAATTTCGGCATCGATGACAGAAGATTTTATATTCATGGAGGGGGGAGAGAGCAGCTGCGCAGCAGCTGTTTTTTATTTATTTATTTACCCTCGACAGTTTTACATCCGCTGCAGGAGCATCGACGGACAGATGCTGTTTGACCGACTGAATCGACGGACAGATTCGAGTTGGTTATTCGGGAATTTCGCTGGTGTTCGCGAAAGAGGAAGGCATGTTTAGACGAACCGCCTGAGGCGACATCGACTACGGTTACAGGACTGACGGAGCTTTCGTCCTTGAGCTGATGGAATTCGCTGACTTTCGTGAGACACGGACGCGTGTTCTCGCACGTGTCGCGAATGACCTCGCAATTGACGAATAGCTGGAGTTCGTTGACTTGACGAAATACGGACGCGTGTTTCTGCGAGTGTCACGACTCACGAGGAATTAAACGGGGAGCAATCTACAGTTACGGAGCAACAGACATTTTGGCGCAGGCAGAAGATTCGGCTCGCCAACTTGCAGCAGTATGAATAACGTGGTGTTACTGTGCGGATACAGTGCAAGACGATTGGAGTTGTAATTGTCGGCGAAAGATTCGCTGGAGACAAGGAAGCTGTGGTGCGGTAGAATCCCTACTGCCCGTTTGGTTATCTGAGTAATTCGACCAAGATTCGACGGCTACGATCGACGGCGATCGTTTCGACGCGTTTCGACCGTTGGATGGAGTTTCTTGAAGAAGCTCGAGATTCTCAACAGTGGTGGCTTCACTACTACGAGATTCAGTTAGAGTGTGTGTAGTTTTGTTTATTTGTGTGCTTATCTAGAAGGGGGGAGAGTGTAAGGAATGCGTAATTCCTTACTGAGGCTTGCTACAGGGCGTACGACTCGAACAGTCCCGAACCAGTGATGGGGTTCCAGACCTTTCAGTTCGAGCCTCCTGGGCCTTTCCGGACCTCGCTACGACACATCGAGGCCTTTCGATACCTTTCCCGAACCTTCCGATCCTACGTCCAGCATCACCCTAGGCTTTCTATTTCTATATATTGTATTGTCTTTCATTTTATTGTCATTCACTCGTTCACAGTTTCGCCATTGCCCTCCGCGCTACTCGGGAGTCCCATTCATAACAAATAACGTGAGAATACAAGGTCCCTATTGCAATGAGGGCATGAGGTTATGTGGGGGTTGGCGTGCTAGGGCGATAACCTCGGGACGTGGGTAGGTTCGGCAATGTGGCGACAGTACCGGACGTGACTCGGGAAAGGGCTGGGCCGACAAATGAGGCCGAATGTGACGAGTCGAGGAGTTCGGGTGTACGCGCTAGTGTACGACTTAGTAAGGAATGGAAATTCCTTTCACTACCCCCCCTTCCTAAACGAGGCCGCAGGCATCGGAAACATTCCGACGCTGATAATACGCAATAAGAATTGGGTGTGATTCTAGATCAGCGAGTAGCACCCAGCTGTCATCCTCAGACGTCCGATCCGATCACGCCAGCGGATTAAAAAATCCACCATCCGACGGTTCTGCTGTGTGGTGACGCGGTGACCGAGAATCTTCAAAGGCTCGGTGGTCGGTTCCTGCAGGAGCGTCAGCTGCAGTACGACTCGCTAGCGTGCCAAATCCAACGAACTCACGATGTAGGGCGCATCCAACGGCTGTAGGAGTCCGGCTGCTCGCTGATCGGACGACTTCATGATTTGGCAGGCGGTGCAGGAGGACACGCACTTGCGCACGTTGTCAGCCATGTTGGGCCAATAATTATGGCGCTTTAACGTCTTTATGATTTTGTCAACTTCGAAATGTCTGGAGGTTGGGTTTGTTAGAATACGTGAATGATTACTAGAAGGAGAAACCTAGAACATATACCTGTTGGGTTGTACTCACTAGAAGCACACACCTAGTCTAGCCTATAACTTCTACATAGAACTTATGTATAAGTTGACACACCCCTTAGGCTAGATAAGGGGTGGTGCTAAGCAAGAAGCACACAGCTCAGGGTGGCACTACTAGTCCAACCACTGAGGTAGGGGTCCGGAGACCAGTCAGCAAGAGTACAAACAAGACTAAAGCAAGCCAGGGCGGCACTACTAGTCCAGCCACTGGAGGTAAGGCCACAAGGCCAGTCAGACAGGTATATATAGTAGAGAGTACACAATCATGGCCCTAGCGAATGAGAAGCTACAGGAACAAGACCAAGCTGTACACAGTGCCGCTGATGATCTTTAGGCGCAAGCGCCTTAGTAAAGATATCAGCTGTGTTGGCACCTGAGGCCAAGTGAACTACACGGGCCTGGCGACGCTGCTGTAACTTGCGCATGAGGAAGTACCGCAGTTGGATATGCTTCCCTCTGCCCTCAAGCCGAGGCTCCTGACACAGGAGAATCATAGCCCTGTTGTCAGCGTACAGGACCGGGGCAGAGCTAGGCCGCTCACCTAAGTCAGTGAGCAAGAAGGTCAGCCAGCGGAGCTCCTGTGCC